CTTCACATAAAACTGGGCTTGGTGAAGTAGTTTGTAAAGGTCTTAGACAAAGATGGCAACTGTTTCAAGTATCTATATGTGTAATTCCTAGCTCTTTCAGAAGTGAAACTCAAAGAAGGAATTTTTGTTGAGCCTCAGATTAAGAAATTGACTTCAGATTAACATTTCGAAAGGACAATGAGGAAAGTTGAAAAAGAAGCATGGATTGCCTTTAAAGATTTTATTGACCAATTTTTAGGAAGCAACAAGGACCCAAATTATGAAAAATTACAATAAATTCAAAGAGTTGGGTTGTACTATGAGCTTGAAAGTTCATTTCTTACACTCACATATTGACAATTTCCATGAAAATCTCGGTGCTCTCAGTGAAGAACAAGGGGAAAGGTTTCATCAAGACATCAGGGAAATGGAGAGGAGGTATCAGGGAAGATGGAACATGATGACTGATTACTGCTGGTCATTGAAATGAGATGCTCTAGATGCAGTACATAAAAGAAAGACCACAACACAGTTTTTATGACTAAAAGACGTCGATTTCACAAAACAAATCAGGATGAATGAGGATGCATATTCATTTGACATCAATGTTCTTACCTTTTCTTCAGTTTGCTTGTATTTTTGTTAACAAACATAATAATAAAAAAACTTTCATCGTGGTAAACAAAATAATAATTTGATCTAAGTAAGAGTTTTTTTTCTTTGTAAAAAACCCTTACGTGATAGAAAAAAATGAATATTATTTTTGAAACCTGCGTAGCTAAATTATGGAAAATCCATTACTAAACCAAAACAACTTTTATGAAGGCCTGTGTAATTAATTCTTTGTAAATAATAATGTAAGAAAAGTATATTTGATTAGTTATAATCATTACTGAGTTAATTTTTAGTTTTGATCTAAGTAGGTATAGCTTGTTTTGATTGGAAGCTAATATTGCTATGTGTTATTATAATACACGAAGTATGGAAGATTTGATGGATACCATTGTGTTTGGTTATTTTTGTCTACATATTGGTAAATTCAAGTTTAACAGACTGTAATTTTTCTAAAACATATGATTTTGGTTAAGAAACTGCAATAAGTCTTTTCTTTATATCAGTATTAAGTTTTATGGTTTCTTGATCTCTAGCATTTTTTCAGCTATGGAGGCTACATTTATGATTATCAGGCAGGCTGTATCACTGTTTTTGTAGGGATGGCTTGGATTGTTCTTTATCAAAATGGTATTTTGAATATCTCCTCAATAGGTCATCAGAATTTTACAATACTGTACAGTGTTTAATTTTATAACAATATCTACATTTGCCCCTGAAGAAGAAAGGTCCACCTTTTAAAAGCATTCGGGTTATAGGGTTTTTATCATTTTGTATCAATATTTATTGAACCTACAATTTTTTCTGACATCAGGTATGTAGTGACTGAGTCACATGTTCTGGCAATGTCTTGTAAATATCTTAGCAAAAAGTTTGAATTTCTTGTTCTTCTTTCTCTCAAAACCAAAACAATAGTGTCAACCAGTTTCACTGAGGTGACATAGTTTCAAATGGAGTATCCACTTTATTAGTATTATTAGCAATTAGTAGTGACTAAAAAATATAATCATAATTCTAGTGTAAATGATGTTATTGTTACCCCTGGAAGTTGCCTTTTTTCAGACGTTTGGTGTGCCTTTAAAAAGCTTAGTACAGGGTGAAAAAGGAATTACCAGCCAATAATAGATAAACAGTAAATATTATAGTAGGAACCTCAATGTATATAAACTTGGTTATAAATACAACCTTCCTACATCTATTGAAACATTGCATTACAAAAAACAAGCAAACATGTAAAGAAAAACTTTTCAAAAAGGGAAGTAAACTTAGGGATGGCCAATATCAATCCATCAAAAAGAAATACAAACAAGGGATGTAAGGATTGATATTAGCCATCCCTATATTTACATCCTTTTTTGAAAAGTTTTTTTCTTTACTTGTTTTTACTTATGGAGTGCAATGTCACTTGAGAATAAAAATAGATTACAATATATAAAAATTACAATTTTGATAGTTGGGGGAATTTTTTAGTTTAGAAATGACCCTATTTGAGTACTTCTGTATGGTATTTTTGCATTTTCAATTGCCCCTGCTTTCCATCTTATTATATTTTGTGAGAATAGAACAATTCCAAATTTAGTATGACTGCTCAAGACTGTTAATCCTCTGAATGTAGTTAGGTCAAAGTATGCATTTCATGATTTTTAACAGATAGTGTTAGGGTAGAGAAAATGACAGATAAAGTACAAAGTTTTCTTGAAAGTAACTTTTGATATTCATTTAGGAGGTGTTAGAGGTTGTCCAAATAAAATTTTAAAACTATAAATTGGAAAAAGTCTTTTTAATCTTAACATGAAAATCGCTTTGCACTCAGGCTGGGTAGAGTCTAAGTCACATTCTGACTACATAAGTTCAAAGACATATTTTTAGCAAAAATGCTTAATTAAAAAAACTGATTTTTTCTGTACAAAAGGCTTATAATGTTACTAAAATCTTGCCAAATTTTATGAAGATACACTTACTACACTACAAATTATAGTATGTATAGTTTCACGGTTACCTGGCAGTTGCGAGGTTGGTCAAAATTTGTTATAAGTTACTGTAATTTTTTGTTTGCATGTATTGCACATAGATACCTATGTGCTTCTGTATAAATGTTTATGTTGTCATACTAAATTATTTTTTTGCAGTTTTTGTATTGCCACACTTAGGCAAAATATAATCCTGGGGTTCTAGTTGTTCACTAAACTTTAACTGAGCATGAGGTGCTCAAAATTGTTTGCAGTGTTTATATCTATAAAGAAATAAAGCTGAAGATCTCTTTCTTGTATCCTACTTGGAAGACGTAATAGTAAATTATATTTCTGACCTATAAATTTTATTTTTTAATATTTCTTATTAAGAAGTAAGTGTCTAAACACTTTTTAGATAGCAGCTGAAGTAGCAGCTCCACTTTCACAGTGTAAACGTGTTGTGATGGTTTCATCAGGAAATGGAGAAGTAGGAGCCAATAAGCTGACTGGAGACATTTTGGATATTATGGGAAAGGTGCCAGATATGGTCACTCAGTTAACTGGAATTAGTATTAACAGTGTAAGTATATTACAGAACTATGAGCTGAACCATTTGTTTAATCCAGTGTGATTATCAGAGTATAACATCATTCTTTGTATACATTTTATCTCTTTATTTTTTTTCTTGTGGTGTGACATGATAAGAATTACCTGGATTTTGCTACATATATGGGTAGTTTGAGAAATATGGGAGGAGTATGAAATTTTGCATTTTAGTGATTTCAATGACTGACTGAGAATATGACATCAGTTTTTAATAATAGTTTTACTAATACAGACCTAAAGATACATTGAGTGACCGTGGCATTTGATAAAGAAACAGGACTAGAAAGTGACTTATTAGTGCTGTACCTAAGTGTACTGTAATTGTTTGAATTAAAAAACAATCAACTTAACAATGGATATGTTTTATGTATATGTCAATGATCCTGAAAGTTTATTCTCTCCTTTTCAGTCATTGAGGGCTACTCAAACTTCAGTGTGAATTGAATGAAGACAAGTAAAAGATTGGTGTTTTGGCTCTGATTTCTTTGTGCTACATATATTTCAGACCACAGAAATATTTTAATATAACTGAAGCATAAAATGTTTATATGCTTTGTGAATTAAAGCTCAGATCAGTTAACTGTACCAATGTTTTCAGGTTATAATCAGTATATTGTTTGGTTATACTCATAGTTTTTAAATAACACGATGGAAGATTAGCATACAGTCTGAGGCTTACATTCCTAAACTGTTTTATGTTGTTATTTTTCATCATTTGATACATAAGTTTAGTTTTAATTAACTCTTAACAATTTTTTTAAGTATCTCACCACTTCTCATAAGTATTTTCTTCAGTATCCAGTGTTAGCTTACATGGGAACACAACCATTCTGAGTATCTACGTGGTTCAAACAAAACTACATTCCTGACATTTTCTATTGGCAGGTATCCTTCCTTAAACAGGACTACATTACTATTGTTCTTCCTTTGACACTATTGTATAATGTATCTTCAAGGAGAAGGACATCCTCAGTATTCATCTGTAACTTAACCATTTTTGGTAATCTTTAACATGGATCACACCTGAAACCCAAAGCACTTAATTGTTTTGTATTTCTGTAATCACTTCATGGTAGCTACTTTATTATTTTTACAATACTTCAACACATTTCAATAGTTATTTAATCTGAATTCTTTTTCCTGAAACCTTCCCCTTTTTAAAATACTTGTAGACTGTCATAGAAAGGATAAATGATATGTAATTTTCATATGATATAAATTTGAATGCTTATGTGGCACAGGAGTTGTTCATGTATAACTTTTTCAATGTTCACATGTTCCTTACCAAAATATCAATGATACTCAGAATACATATAATTTAAGGACAGCATGGGATCTTTGGTCCATCTAGGCCATCCCATCCACTAAACTAGACTTTGGAATAAAAATAAGACACTCAAAACCAGCCCTTATCATTCAAATATTTATCAAGTCCTCCCTTTAACTATCTTAAACCACAATCTTTAACCATCCTGTAAGAAAAATAAGACTGTCTTAGTTGAAGGTGACTTCTACCCTGCCAAAATTTATATTTTTGTCCTCTTGTCTTACCATTCTCACTATTAGATACAAAAAAAGGTGTTGCATCAATACTATCAGTTCCCCTAACAATTTTAAACACCTCGAATTAATCCAGTTTGACTCAATTTCATTTATAACAACCCTCTGCTTTCTTCCATCCAGCCAGTTTTCTATTCAGTGAACTGACCTATCCCCCACATATACACAGATATTTTTTTAGTAAGCTTTTATGTGGCATCTTGTTAAATGCTTTCTGAAAATTCGGGTAGTAAATATTAACCTCTTTGAAGAATGTCAAAAGATTAATAAGGAGAGATTTTCCCATAGTGAAATCATACTGACTAACCAACAAAATGTTTTGTTAAATCACTTTGCAAGACAGCTTTTATCAGGCTTTCAAAACTTTTCCCACCACTAATGTAAAACTAATAGATTTATAATTACTGGGACACTTTTTATCACCTATTTGGAAAGAGGAGTATCATTCACCAACGTCCAGTATTCTAGCATCTGCCCACTCTTCAGTGATTTACAAAAAAATAGTAATAAGTGGCTCATATAGCTAATCCTTATCCTCATTCAAAACCCTTGGGAAAATATTATCTGCCTTAGGAACTTTATCATTCTTTAAATTTTCCAATTTTTTCTTAATGAGCTTAGAATTAATTTAATCATCTTGTTTCGTTTTGTTTCCATCTAGCAACTGTTTAGGATGAAAAATATTGGAGAAATTTTCATTTGTAAAAGTTAAAGAAAAAAGTAAAATTTAATACCCTATACATCTCATTTTAATCAGATATTAGCTTTCCTGTATCATCCTTCTAAGATCCTACTCCCATCCTAACATTTTGCTTACCCTTAATGTATTTAAAGAAATCCTCACTTACTGATTCTTACATTTTCAGCCAACCTTTTTTCATATACTGTTTTTGATTTCCTAATTTTCTGTTTCACTATCTCTCTTGATCTTCTACAATTTTTTAAATCTCCCATCATACCAGTCAATTTAAACTTCTTACATTTTAATGCTTTTATTTATTTTATCCTTTGTACCCTTTGTGAATCAACATTGTCTTTTACTTACAGACAACATTTTTTATTTCTTTAAGGAACATGTCTATCTCGAATATTTACTTAACTGATCCCACAAATCCAATCAGCCAACCTGCTTATTCTTACATATTAATCTAAGCCTAACATTTATCCCTGGTGACATACTTATGATTTTATCCCCACAATTCAGTCTTGGCAGTATTGCTTACAGTACCTTTTCTTTAAATGTCTATATCAATATATTTTACTTTATCAATTAGCTCCTTATATCCCCCACCCCATCCCTGAATAGTATAATATAATTATGTTCTCCCTATTTACCCCACATACTATCCTATTCACATGCTGTACTAAAGAATCATGTTTTTCATTTCCATCCTTATCTATTCCTTTTGTTTTCCTTACCTTACCTAGTTCCTCACTTGCATTAGTGAAAGGCTGAAGCCTGTTACTTAATAGAACCTGCTTATTACAATTAAATCCACTATTTCTGGCCCTTCTAGTACTGTTTCTGACTTCTGAAAGTCATTATTAGCTATTGTATCATTTGCATACAAAAACTAAATTCCTGCCATTTCCCACAGTTTACCAGCTTTTAATTTATTTTATTTTAGTTAGTTTCACATTTTTCTATCATACTACAAACTACATACAAATTGCATATCTTCACTACTAGCTTCCCTAAAAGTATATGAATTTGGTTCTGTAATTACATGAGTATTCTTATTACATCCTTTGCAACATCATGAAGAAGACAGACAATGTGTGATAAGAAGTACTTTTGTTCTTGTTTTTCTGTGTATATTTTTAATATCTTAAGTTGTTTTTTTTTAAATCAATAAATAAGCTGTCCATTTTTAGATATTCATAAATTCCCATCTGTTGTTCGTGTTATTCTGCATATATATACTTAAAATGTAATACAGTATGTATCTTTGTTGTATCCATACATTGTCTGTATAAATATATGTGGCTAAAGGGGAAGTAACATGATGGGTTTTCTATTAAACAAAAAGTTTTCAATTATAAAGCTGCCAAAAAAAATGTACTGCACCACTGTTACCAACTATCAATTTGATAGATTTTCATCAATCTGAGATTTGTTTAAATCTCCAAACTTAAATGTGCATAGTACTTTAAAAACTGCCTTTTTTTTGTCAGGCCCATATCCTTGGGACCCCACCTTCCACTTGCTCAAGATCAGTCTTGAGTCCTAAAAAATAAAAAAACTTAACTAATCATTTTTTTTTTATAAATCTTCATCAATGGGAACTATTCTTAGAAGAGTTCAGTTCCTGTTGGGCATTATCATATTATCATAACAAAAATTTATTTTGTTACAAAGTTTTCATTTTGCGATGCACCAAAGAGAAAATGCTTTATATAAACAATGTAATAAAATCAGCACTCTTTAGAATGATGTGAATATCATTCTAAAATGGTCTAAAGATATATAGATAAATATATCAGTCAGCAAGTGTATTGATTGTATTCACTAATTTATAGTTTTAGCAGTTCTTTATATCTATTATGCAATATTTATTATTGGTTGTTGACTGCTTTAAATTTGTTGTTGATTGTTAATTTTTTAACCTATGGTTGGTAATGTTGAAGTTTCTTCAGATTTTACACTGATTTTTATGTTTTTAAACATGACAAGCTTTTTAATCACATTACTGTTTGGACTTCATAATGTTCTGTTGGACTAGATTCAGGTTTTTTTGTTATGGACATTTAATACTAATACTGTTGTAGTTTGTTGAAAAATATATTTTATTTTTACTATTGTTTGCATATTATTAAACTTGCATATTAGTAGCACTTCATTAAGTCATTATTAATCTGACTGATTGTGTAAAACATAAAATGTGCATGCTAAAATGCTCTTGTTCATGTTGTCCCTGTTGGCTTAGGACATAAATCACATTACCTAGTGATTGATATGACTCGTTGAGTTTATTTACACATGCTCACTATCACATCTTAAGTAACTTGTGTACAATTCACATGATTCAAAGGAAGTTTTCTTGGTAATTATTTCACTTTTAGAAGACCATGACTTCAATAAACTTTCAACATTATTATTGAATACACTTAAAAGCTCTAAACTACAAGACCTCAAAGATTCAGCTAAACAAGGGTATTCGATGACGAGGAACCCACTTTGAGACTAATAATGGCTGGAGACGGCTTGAATGGGTAATGAAGAAAAACTTTAGGGTATATTTGTTGAGTGCTTGAAACAGAAGGGGGTCACCTTTCTGACTGAGATGTGTGTGAAGTTTACCAGCATACAATGTGAGCTTGCAGTATTTGTGCTGTTTCCTAAAGTTTACTTGGACAAATGGATTTCTAATAACCAAAATAAGTTTTCCATCAATTTTCTAACATTAAAATTATTACCAGTTACTTTTTCTTTTTGTATTAAAAAACTTGAAAGTGCCACTAAATGGTAAACATTATAGGTATGCCAAAAACCATTATTTTAGGTATCTTTGTAATGAAATTATAAAGTATGAAAAATTACTAATAATTAACATGTCTAGAATATCAGGTATCAATTTTATCTAAAAATGTCAGACACCATGCCTGGAATATCCAGTATTCTCAATGAAGCTTTCTCTGAGTTGAACCACTTATTGCTATCTCTATTTTTTTAGATTAGATAGAAAGTTTTTAAGAAATAATGGTAATCCACAGAAAATTGAGTAGGAATCAAATAGCACTCCAAAAAGCACAATTTCTTGTCTTAAATTTCTAATGGTCTTAACAAGAACAACAAAATAACTGTCCATAGAAATCTACTTGCTGTAGAAGTTCTTCTGAATAAAAGTGTTATCTAACAAACACACCTGAGTATCAAACACAAGTTGAACACTTGCTTTCAAAATGTTTAAAAAGCATTGCTTAATATATGAGATTAGGCTAGATAGTATTAAATTTACCATTAAAAAGTATATCCTGGTAGGATGAAGTTCAAAAATCTAACAATTACCTTTCAGTTTTCAGTGGGTCTTGAGAGGTTTTTTCACCTTATAACTGGTAAAGTATCAAGTTTAAAGTTCTTGTGATGTAACCAAGTATCTAGAAGATTATTACTCTACATTTTTAGGTAAAAATACTTTGAATAATTGCCTTCATTCTGCTTTCCTTGGTCATGATCAGATTCCTTAATAAATACATTCATTTGCAATCATAACTGTTCTGTCTAAAACATTGTCTTTGAAGCAAAGAAATATGGATAGCTAATTTGTAAATAGTGGTATAACAGTTATGTATCTGGTTCTTACAGGAATTTCAATGAAGCTTATCGGTTTGTCAAAATTATACATCTGAATTTCATATATTTCCAAGAATATAAAAACTGTACAGGATCTTGAAGGAAAATGATACAAATTCATATGTAGTTTTCTTTTTGCCATGTCACTCTTATGTTAGAGAATTGGTTTCGAGCAAAATCAATCAGAGTCATGTTTAATCATAACAGTTATGATGGAAATGCTCAAAATGTTTTTTTTATTGACAGAATAATAATTATTATTCAGAAATAGTTACATCTAACTGCTTTCTGTCCATTTTATGTAGGAAAAGCTAGTAGTAAAGTAGAAACTATTATCACACTTTTAGGAAATAAACAGTAATTGATAAACACACTGTAGTGCTGATGTAAGTTGTGATTTTTATTCTTGAAGTTTTGCAGTAACATTAAATATGTTACTAATAAATAGTCTATACTTAATTGTTAGTAACTGGTTGTTTATAGCCTATTCTTTGTGAAGCATTGCATGAGCCTTTTCTGTTAGATAAAGTGTACATTGTTTTGTAGCATGCATGAAGTTTCATAATACTTTGCTCCATTGAATGTGTAGTTAGAACATTAATTATATTTTAGTATTTATCAGTGACTAACCTAAATGACGGTTTTAACGTCTGATAAAATTTATAAGATGAATAAAAAGCTGAAAAAGATCTGCATAGATAGTATGATATTGTAAAAAATAAACAACAGTAGATGGATAACATTGTAAATTTATTTTGAAATAATGACAACAGTTTGGACCAAGGACCTTCATCAGATAGTGCCTAAAATTGTTAGAAAAACTAAATGAAAAACAAATATGTTAGATGCATTAAACCATCAAGGTTAAAAAGAGAGACACTTAAATGCCAACAATGCTACATATGTATCAGCAATACATTGAACTGCAAGCTTCAAGTTTGTTAAGAGGTTCATCAAAGTCACAAGGTTAAAAAGAGTCAAGGTGTTCAGCAACATCATGGTCAGGAATTCAATCAGTAACATAGGGTTGAAGATGCAACCAGATGGTTACAAAACAGGAACAGTTTTAACATGGGTTTTCAATTATGCACCTTGCTTGATAGATGCTCACCCAACACCAGTGGATGCATAATCTAGAAATGTTTGCTTAGCCTACACAAAAGTGTTTTTCTAACAATTAATGTAATGTTTCTATATTCTGTTATTGCCATTTGAATTTGTTTCTCATTTAGTTCTTATATCTACTCTAGGTAACATGTGATGAAGGGCTTTGGCCCAAAACATTGTCATAGTTTATTTCAAAAGAAATTTATAGTGTATTACATCTGCTATTGTTTATTTAGGATAAAAGGAGACCCATTTAAAAGTATTAAGGAGCGGTTTGTATTAGTATGTTTTAATGCCAGTTTATTATTGTGTATTTCAAGATGTTTTAAAGAAAAGATAGTAGATAGATCATGCATGTTAAAATTTTCTTCTATCATATTATTATTAAGTGTTCTAAGGATATTATTGTTCCATAAATTTAAAGGAGTTTATATGCCTTTGCTTCAAATTTTAAAAATTAGCT